GAGGATCGTCTCCTTAAGGAGCGACCACTCTTCTTGGACACCTGGCTCCCCTCCCCTCCCCTCTGGGACCTCAGTGCTTCCCCTACTATTCTCCTTAGCTCATTGAAGTCTGTCCTCCTGAAATCTAGGGCTGCTGCCTTGCTGTAGGCCTTTGCCACCTTGTGCTGGATGGTGAATTCCAGCAGGCGATAATCACTGTCGCCCAGGTGGCTGAGCACCCTCAGCCCCCTCACTAGGTCGTCACCTGTGGCCAGCACCAGGTCCAACAAGGCGTCTCCCCTGGTGGGGCTGTGCACCTCCTGGGTTAGACGGAGGTCCTGCATTCTGGCTAGGAACCTACATGAGCGGTCAGACCTGGCTGACTGCTCTTCCCAGCAGATGTCTGGAAAGTTCAGGTCACCCATGATGACCACATCCTTTGACCTAACTACCTAGTAATACCACAGTGGTCAAAGAGATTTAGGGTATAGGTGATTCTTACTCCCTCATATAGTTCTACAGTGCTACCACTTCCCTATTCTTTCATCCATCTTTCCTTATCCTTCAGATTTAAGTTATTTTATTCCTTTCTGTTTGGTACTGCTGTTCTCTGCAAGTCCATTTGTAGCATCTGACAAAGTAAGTTGTTGCCTATGAAAGATCAGACATTTCTGAATGAGCACTCTGCCTTGCTTTATGCATATACTTCTACTCAACTTTTTGCTTTTAAAATATGCATTCTTGGGATTTTAGTCATATGGGCATCTTTGCACATGCTTCGTGGGGGGGAGCTTTAATTAGAGTGGTTCATTCAATGAGCTTTAGTTAAAGCGACCCCACTGCCATTTTGAAGCACAGGGACACTGAATACACAAGACGCAGAGACTGCTGGAGCACACTGATTAGCATGGTTCAGCAGATTCAATTAATTGAAGTTTTTTTGCTTGCCCTCAGGCCAAATTCAACACATTTTCACAATGCAATGAGTGATATTATAATCATGTTGGTAAAATCACAGTACTCTCTGTAATGTATTCCTCACATTGGATGTTCAAGGACAAATACTATTAGTAAAGACAAACAAAAGCTCCATGGAAATTGATAAAACTTTGCTCATTTGCACCAATACAGGGTTTGCCCTGTAGTATTTAAATTATACAGGAAAATAAAAGCTAAGTTCCTTGTCACAACAATCTTCAAAGAAAACGACTTAAGACTTTCCAAATAATTTTAAAACTATTAGTAATGATAATGGTATAGATACAAGAGGATGCATATGTGACCATATAAAATCACTTGTACAAAATCACAAATGCTGTTGATTTTATCAGACTTCTGGATACAGAGCTACTATAAGACATAGTGTGAAAGTATGTCATCACAATCATCTATTCTTTATATTCTAGTAATATTTAAAGCTATGTTAGGACTTTATTCAAAGCGTTGTAAAACCATTAACTAGCTCATCTTCACAGTGCTGCGTTGCAGTATTGCTGTCACTGTTCAGATGAAAAGAGAGTAAAGCAATTAAATGATTTTCCTTATGCCACACAGAACATCTGTGGCAAAGCTGGGAATAGACACTGATAAGTTCTTAGCCTATGCTCCCATGGTCTTTCCTTTAGACTCTGCATTCTTTCAGTAATTTTTAATGTAGCTGTCAATGTTGTGCAGAAATTAATGGTAGTTAATTAAAAAAGAAAAACCAAGATCCATACATATTGTTTATTGTTTTACTAGAAAATCTTCAGCTTTGTTAAAGAAAAAAAGAGACTACATTGCAAGGACAGTTTCAGAGTAAAGTAAAAGCTATGACTGACAAACTTTGGGCCAATTTCAGAGTGTTGAAATCACCAACAAAACTCAAGAAGCAAGAACTTATATTATATTGTGACCTGTAATTCACACCTTTTCTCAGGAGAAAAAAAAATCCTGAAAATACTGCATAAACTGATCATTTTCAATAATATCACAATATTATGTAATTCTACAAGGCAAGTCTGTAGTTCCAGTAAAATCACTTTTTACTGGTAGGTAGAACAGCAGGACAGTTTTCTTCAAGGAACCTTCAAAGTTGCTCAGTAACTAGCCTCTAAGAAGAGAGGAATTCTTTGGTTGGTTTCAGAAAAAAAGAGGCTTTTCTATACGCAATGCTGCCACAGCAAGTGCATCATGACTCATTAAGGGTTTAAGAACAAAAGACTTCTCATGACGTTCATGTTTAAACTACAGTCACCATCTATGTTATTTGCAAGTGATGGTTTTATCACTCTCTGCTCTATCATTTTCTTTCTTATCCCAGTCACCAAGTTCCATGACACTAGCTGTGGTAAGAAAGCCCAGGTAGCACATATTTTAGTGTGGATTATGTGATTAGGAAAGGGTGTATGTCAGTGGTTCTCAACTGGTGCTGCAGCATCCCAGAGTGCCACAAGGCCCCCTCAAATGTGCAGTGACACAGCCAGGTAAAACTGCCATACACATACCTGCTGCATTAGGGGTCTCTCGAGCACCCTTTCTAGAAACAGGGGTGTGTGGGACAGTTCCACCCATGTGCCTCTTTCTAGTAGGAGCAAGGGCAGGGCAGAGGGAGGTCCAGACAGGAAGGGAAGCATAACACCAGCCAGCCTCTGCCCATTTTAGGTTGATCAGAGTCAAAATGCAGGCAGGAGCCCTTCCTGGGCTGGCCCTTCCCCACATGCCACAGCCCTTCCTGGGCTAGCCATGCAGCAGGCATGTGGGACACTTCCACCGGGAGGCAGCATAACCCAGATGAGAAGCACTGAGTTCAGTTGAGGCAGCACTATCAGTGGTTCTGAACTGGGAATGTCACCACATTCAAAAAGGTGGTGGAGAAGTCCCTCGCCCTGAAAAGATTGAGAACCACTGGTGTATGTAATATAGGTCAGATACATAAATATAACTGGCCTCTCAATTGTGATAAGGCAAGTTAATTTTCTTTTGAATCTTTGCAAATTATTTGAATGTGAGTCATGTGAAGTGGTGCAGCAACAGCTACCTTAATGGTTGTGAAGTAGACTTCTCCACGGTGCTGGTAGGCTACAAGAGTCTGTTCTTCTTGGTTCCGAGCCAACCGGACAAACATCATCCAGTTTCCACAGTCTTCATTAGGAGTGTCCAGAAAGTACTTTCCTCCATCCTTCAATACCTAAAGAAAGGAGATTGGGAAATGGGAAAAAGGATAGTTATAGCAGACCCCTAGAAAAGAACACACTAACCTTTGTATTTCTGTGGGGCTTTTTGTTTTGTTTTGAGGTTTGTTTTTTTAATCATAAACTCCACTTTTTCTTGCTAATATGCTCTGAAAAATAACAATTGTTACAAAATAGATTATTCTTGTTGAGCTTACTAATAAAGGTTGAGAATGGGTGATTTCTAAAGCACCTAGTTACTAAAACAACTGCTGATATTTGTTTGGAATACAGAATTCCAGGTTACATTTGACAACATCTGTGATACTGTTATTGTAGTATCTATAATATAAAAAGATAGTATTTTAAGATTTAAGCACAAACAAGTAGGCAGAAAGATGAATTTTGAACCTTAATGTGCTTCCTGAGTGCTTGATCTCTCCACTTTTAATGCTGTGTTAAAACTGTATTCTGCATGGAACAATATTGTCATTGATATGAAAAATCTGGCAAAGTCAAGTCCCACTAAAGTGATATTTGAACACTCTCTTGACTGACCACGTGTTGCATTCCTAAAAGGAGGTAAGTACTAATGAATAATCTTGCCGTTCACTTCACTTCACTTTATTCCCTCTAGATTCCTTTTAAATGGAAAAAGAGAAGGAATATGCTGGGAAGGAGGTCTTAGATCTGCTGCTGAAGCTGCACATCCATGGTGATTATGCTAACACTTCATACAGATATCCCGTGCATCTGTTCCATTAACCCAGTGATTCTCAACCAGAGTGCTGGAGCACCCTGGGGTGCCTTGAGATCCTTTCCAGGGTGCCACAGGTTGCCACACAACATTAACACCATTAGGTGTGCAAACATGAATCACAAGATAAACTCAGAGATTTCAGATAGAATCCATAGTGTTAAAAACATTCTGACCTGTTGTGGTCTCTCTCAGTTCTTTGGAACGGAAAAGTTGCACTTGTTTTTCTTTAGTCAAAAAATGAGTGAAAAATAAGAACTGGAATTATCCAAGGAGTGCTCTGAGTCTAAAAATGTTGAGAACTATTACATTCATCATCTGAAAGCTTACAAAAAGTTATGAAGCAGTTACGTGACATTTCCTTGCCTATTAAGAAATTGTTGCCTAAGCTTGCTAAGTTTGTAATGAAAATACATTTTTTTCTGGAGAAATCCTGTGCTCAGTCACACACTCAGGATTCTAGAAGACAGAAAACAAAGTTCCTTTTGCTGTGCTGTAAGAAATTCAGATAAAAATCTGCTCCCATTCTCTGCATCTGGGGAAGTAACTCATAGATGAGTAAGAACTATGCCTTTAGGATATACCAGTATGCTAATTAAAAGCATGGCAAGTCCAAGAGGAGACCATGATGGGGACTATAACTTGGTTAAAAGATAGCTAAGAGAAAGAAAATAAATGTGTTGATTCATCCATGCTGGAATACATGTTATATTTCCTGTTCCAGTAAGAAATGCAGAAAGAAGGGGAGGTGGAGAAAAATTCACCCCAATGAAAAGCAGGTGCTGTTTGCAATGTCAGCTTCCCATAAGTGTCCCACTGGGAGGTTAATTCTGTGCATAACTTGTTTTAAGAGATTTCCACTAGCACCAGGTGTCAGAAGGAATGGATTGTATTAGCTAATGCTGCTTGCTTCTGAGGCTGTGTTGCCTGGCTATGGGTTATCAAGCAGGGGGCAGTGGGTATTCTGTGCTAATTCATCTATTTCCTATGCAAATACATTATATTAGCCATAAATGGTGTAATCCAGAATGAAATCAAGGTCAGTAGCACTTTCAGTTTATATGAGAGGGTCTACTTACATATAGCTAGATACTGAAATACATCTCTATGGTCAGACCAAAATACAAAAGGGTTACTGTAGTGAAAAACCCCACAGTAGTCAGCACACTGCCATGACCTTCCTCAGCCGCATCCTGTGCAACCCATAAAGGATGATGGAGTGGGAGAGAGGAGTTTACAAAGGTAAAAAGATAACCAAGTTTGTGGCAGTGAAGAGAAGAAGACAGACTGTCAGTTCTTGACTCCTGGAGAACAGCTTGCTGAAGGCAGAAATGGGATACTTTGAAAAGTCTTACGGGGTGGGGGGTTCCCTAAACACCTCCAGCACCTCACAGCACTCTGCTCTACCCCTGGTTCAGCTGTCTCTGAGCCCTGGTCCCACCTAAGTGTGCCAGCGAAGGGAAGCAGAGGTAGAGTCTACCAGGTCTATTATCACGGACTCCATAAAAGGAAGACAGTTTGACCATGGACTACCATGGAACATCCCAAAGGGAAGAGAATTCTACCATGAGCTGGTGTTACTTTATTTGTGTTTGGTTCCTTTTGACCACTAATAACCCCAGAAGGCATCAGCTTCTACAGGCCATGCCAAGGTCTCCTATAACTAGACCTAGACATCATGGCCCGGAGACTGGATGACACCTGGGTTCCCTGGGTGAGAAATTCCATACAGGTATATATACAGGCTGAATACTATTTGCATCACAGTAGTGCCCAAAGGCCTCAATCAGGATCAGAATCGGTGGGCATTATACAAATATGTAGAAAGATATAGTAGCTTACTAACTTGCAGTTCCAATATACAAGATAAACAAGAAGCAGTATGTCACATATTATATCTCTTGTGATTATATTTTTATAAGTCCCCATATTGACCGCTTTGCTATCTGTGCCATTGATGTTGATCCAGTGCATCAAGCTTCATTTGTTTGGTGAGAGAGTTGTTTTAAGTATTTTTCCCCTCCTTTAAGGCTACCAAAAGTATCAAAGCTTTACCTGTGCTCCTGTACCCCATGGGACAACTTCCTAATATTAAGCAGACTCTGCACTCATGTATAGGTGCCCTCTATCGTGAGGTACTAGAAAAAGGCGCATTAGCTTATTTTAATGCACATTGGTGAAAACGCATGGTTTTTATGTGACACTTTAATATGCATTAAAATAGGCTAAGGCACATTTAAGCACATGTGTAGGTGTGCTCAGTATGTGATATTCTAATCAGGTTATGTATTGTTAAATGCAAAAACAAATGGAATAATTTGACCTGGAAGTTAAGAAACTTTGGCAGAGGTGCTCTTATCATACGTTAACATCAAAGTCTTACATCAGGAACATACACAGGAAAAAGAAAGATGTTTATGATCCTTACAGATAAGCAGAAATACATCTAAGCTCTCTTGTAATACCCTGAAGCCCCATAAAGCAAATTTTCCAAGGCCCAGCCCAGCTGGAGTTGGTTACCTGCAGAACTAGCCTGCTGTCATCATAGTGGGTCAGTTTTGTAGACAGTTTGCCAACATATGGACCAAATTGTGTTCTCTTCTGTATGACTTTCTTAGCAAACACTCCCAGGACTGTGAATAAAAGTGAGACCAGTCTAAGATGAATACACATATCATTAACTATTTCCTAAATATTTACAACTGAGAGAAAAGAACCAGCCAAAAAAAAAGAAGGACAAAATGAACTCTTCTAAATGAGTGACCAAGATATGAACCATGGGCTAGATCCAGCCCACAGACCTGCAGGACTCCCATGGGTCTAGAAATTTGGTGGTGCAGCAAGCAGTGGCAGTGTTAATTGCTCTGTAGGCCAGATAATACAGCACCGCACACCAGACTGGACCTGAGGACCAGCCCTGTGAAACAGACTGAGCCCATAGATTGGCCCTGCACAACAGAACTGGCTTGCAAACCAACTTCACGCCACTCATTTGGTTCATAGGGCCGGAAGAGCTGAGCACCACTGTCCTACACTACAGCTGAGCAACATATCAGGAAAATTGTTCTACTAGGTAAAAACCTTAAAAATGTACAAGAACCTGGAATCATTTTTAAAAATAGGATTTTGATTCATTGAATAATGTTTGGAAAATCACCTAAGTCACAATGGATTGCACACTTTTTCCTTAAGAGAAAATTAAACAGTGAGATAGGCATATGCAACACTCAAACCTGCTGATGTTTATCTGCTGATAAACAGCATTTCATATGCAAGGTGTTTCAAACACCTTACATATGTGACATATTGCTTTGTATAGTTTTGTCAAAAAATCCAAACCCAAAGTAAACTATTTTACAATGTCCATTATTCCTCTCCATGAATGTTGATGATAGCACAGAAGACCTTCTTTTATTTTGCTACAAAGCTAACTATAATTAGATTTACAAAACGTAATGGACATATCTACAAATTAACAATGTCCAAGTCTGGGCACTACAAATTATCCTGTTGCCTGAAAGAAACCATTCTTTCTATAGTACCGATCAGAAATGCTGAAACTGTGAATTGGACAAAATCTTACAGGCTTCCTGACTTTTTGAGGGGAGGGGGGGAAAGGGGAAGTTTAATTACTGCTTCGTTTATATGTTTCTGTTGAACACTCTCTTTGCATACCTCCATCACAGTCAATTGAAAAAACCTATCAGTAATACTGCATCGCTATTGATTTTGAATATTTCTAGTCAGGTTATCTATAATGACATTTGCTCAACAAAGCAAATCAGCCTCATGCTGTTAGTGTATATGGCATTCAAGTTCATGGTGGCATTCTGCCATCAATCTGCATGGAAATTCATGGAAAGCCAAGCACCAAAAAAACCCCCAAAAACTCAATAGCTGGATTTCTGACCTTAATCATACTCATCCAAAAACATAGGCTGCGCACAACTGCCTTCAGCAAAGACCGCCTCTAAGTTACAAACCAATATTAATACTCTTGTCCCTCCTAAAGACTGTACCTATAAGAGCTAAAATACTTACTCTGTTGGTTCTCAGCTCGCAGCTCCAGCACTTGTAAAGTGAGGTAGTGAGGTAGGGTAAGGCGGGCACGGCTAGGAATAACCCTGTCTTTAACCCTGATGAGTGGTCCATGGAGTTTGCATTCTCCTATAAGGTTTTTGCCACAGTCCTCACACCCTATAAGCCAAGAAGAAAGCTCCTAATTATAAAAATATCATACTGTTTTCTACTTCACAACAAGTTGAGACTGGAAAAGAGAATGGAAGAGAATGAAAAAGAATTTCTGGCATTTATGCAGCAGATTTCATGCTGGAGGATCCCAAAATACATCCAAGACTTTAAAGGGCGCACAACCTATACACAGGGATAATTTCACCCTCAAATGAAATGCAGCCACCTCCGAAGAGGAGCAGAGCAAATATTCTGCAGTTACACAGCCACATAAATAAGACATAAGATTTATCTCAGGCTGCAATATTTCTTTAGCAACATCTTATCACACATGTATTCCCTGTTCTAACCAACAATCGTAGGTTAGCAAAGGAGAGCATGGAAGTCATGGTAGCTTACTCAGTGTGAGCTCATGCAAAATAAACAGTGCAGGTTGAAGGATCATTCCTAAGCTCCAAAGACTCTAATGCTACAGTGTCCTAGCTGGTCAGAAACTGACTCCCAATATTTGTGTGCAGGCCTGGACATAGGCATGGGTGAACCGAGCAGCTGTCTGGGGCCCAGACAGAAAGGAGGTCTGAAAAAATTACAGTCACAAGAAAAAGTTGTAATATTGTGCATATACGGGACTGGCAATGTTATCAATTGAAAACAAACTATTTAAAGATATTGATACCACAGATGTGATAAAGACTTTTGCAACAAAAAAAAAATTATCTTTGGCAAAGGGGGGCCTGATACTAAAAGTTTGCCCGGAGCTGCCAGGAGTCTAGGAACAGCATTACTTGCGTGTATGTACGTATACAGGAATTCTTCATCTTGTTCATTTTTTGAGCTCATGATGTTGAAGATGGAAAATATGTACGCTCAGAATTCTCAAAACCTTTGTTTACATGATCTAAATAATGGTCATCAAAGGAACAACACAAAAAAAGTTTTTTAAGCCAAGTTAACATTAACAATTTATACTAAATATAAATTACAGAATGCAGTTACAAAGTTGTGTAACTCCTGTCAGTAGCAAGTAGTTGTGTACCACTTCAGAAACTAGCCGTTAGTTTATACTGTAAAAGCATGCTCCCTAGCCAGTCTCCAGAATTCAAGTGTAAACTGTTCTTAAAAAATAGGGTAATTTTGTTCATTGTAAGCTACAGCATTGCTTACTGAAGCACAAAGACAAAGGCCCAAATCAGTATTATTTATACCTGTGTTAATGCACAACACAAAAAGCTATTTATCATCATACTTGCCCTACTTGAACTATTATCTTTAAACCACTGCAGACTTTTCTTTTTCTTATTGTTGTTGTTTTTAAAAGATTAGGGCTAGTTAAAACACTTTAGACAAATCTTGTATTTTCCCCAATACAACATGCACCTAAGCAAGGAAGCTGATTTTCTGACCAAAATGGAAGCACCTTGCATTGAGTCCTGCTCCACAATGAAGCAGCTGTTGCATTACTATTCAGGCAGCTGAGAGAGTCAGCTGACTTAATGGCTCATTGTTCTTTACTCCAGAGGGGTTAATGATCATCTCTTCTCTTAATGGTTTTGATGGTCCACTAATCAAGCTAGCCTTGGCAATTGTCTGTGTGCTACCTGCTCCTAATCTCTCTCTCTCCCGCAATTTCGCAGCCTTGAAGCCTCTTATGCTCTTTTTGGAAAAATGGATCCACCCATAGAGATCAGTCTTCAGCAACAGCTATTGTTCTAGCTTTAATTAAGCAAGAAAGGGAGGGAGAATCAGCTGAAGACTAGGCTTTGAACCTGATCTGTACACCCATAACTCTGAAACAATATTCTTTTCTTCATTCTTTCAAAACAAGGTCCAGCTTATATTCCAGGACATGCTATATGACAGAAAATACAGCGTACTTTACATTTTTCAGCTTTAAAAATGCTAAAATGTTATCAGTGTTACTGGTAGTCTCTGAAGGGTATAGCTAGCAACAAAATGTTCAAAATTAAGAAAGTAAGCTTTCTTTGGCCTTTCGTTCAAATTCTACAAATGCTCACTTTCTCTATACAGCACGTGTCAGCTACCAGCATTAAAACAATGCAGTAGTAAAAAAATAGTTAAAACACCACACAAGCTTTTATGATTTAGTTATGGTTTATGAATTAGTTAATTTCAAACTTAGCTTTACTGTTGGACTGAAAAGCTGACAAACTACTTGTGCTTAAAAGAATTCTCTCTACATTGATATATAGCATTAGCTCTAAACGTTCCATAACGGAGGAGCAGAAAACTTTTTGAAGATGCTGAATTGTATAATGAAAATGAGCACCTGCATAATTAATAATTCCAGTGCATCTTAATGATGTATCAAAGAGATTTAAAGAATACTTAGGACAATAACCTTTTATATTACAAAATACATTATTTCTATAATACTTAAAAAGTTGGAATTTATTAGACATCTTAGGAGGGAGAGAGTGTGTGTGTATTTATATTCAAATTATATCTTAAATGAAAGAACCCAAATATACAAGTCCTGCATAGCTCCCATTGAAGTCAAAGGGAACTACATATTTATTCAGAAGCAGAATCTGGCCCAATAGATAACTACAAAGCAAAATTTAGGACAAATGGCACAGAAGGCATGTTTAGTTACTTAGATAACTTTTCTCAAGGGATAAATACAGACAGTCAAAAAGTCCAAGGCTGAATCAATTAAATCTTTGTAGGTTAGTCTAAATTGCATAGATTGAAGCGATAAGCAAGTGAACAGACATTGACTTTTGATTCCAGAAAGGTAGTAACATGCCTGCAGTGGCCCAGGCCAAAAATTGGCCCTACCCACTGATCCCTCTCTTACTTAAGTAGCCGGGCCAGATTGAGGCCTGACCATGCACCTCCCCCCCTCCGCTTGAGCGGGGTACGGGTGGGGAAGCCCCTACCAGGCAGACTGGAGTTGGTGTGGGCCAGGGTGAGGGTTTAAATCCCACTCCCATCATATTCAGCTGGCTGAGCCGGGGCCTCCCTTTGCTCAAGCAGGGAGGAGGGAAAAGCCTCTAAGGGCTTCCCCGCCCACCCCATCAGGCAGACCCAGGCTGGAGTCCATGCAGGCCAGGGTGGGAATTTAAACCCCCCCATACCCCTCCATCACACTCAGCTGGCCAGCCTGAGGCAGGGTTTGGCCATGCCCCGACCCTCCACTTGAGCAGGGGGGCGGGGGGAAAGCCTCTGAAGGCTTCCCTCCTCCCTGCTGGACAGGCCCCAGCTGGGATCCAGTGCTAGGATTTTCCTCCTCACCCCCTTCTCTTCCATGTTGCTCCATCTAGGAAGCAGAGAGACAGGGCAGACACTGTTCTGCTGGAGCAGACAGTATAGCACAGCCCAGGATTGCAAAGCATCCTGGCGTGCTGGGGGACTGTGAGTTAACTTGAATTGGGAGGGGATCTGGGACAGAAGTTCCATAAGTCAATTCAACCTAAATCAGCTAAGTATATGCTGTGGTAGTAAATTTAGTTGGGCTTCTGGCCTAGACTAGAAAAACAGACAGAGACCAGAAGTGCTGATACTGCTTATTTCAGTTAAATGTTCTGAGATAAGGAATCCTGCATGCCTTGTTTTTGTCTTGATATACTACCCTGTGTATGGATGTTAAGTTTATTTTTCTCTCTGAGAAACCAGAAACTGATAACTATTTCTATAAGCACAATGTTTCACTCTTCTTTAAGTAAACAGCCTATATATGTGTGTGTGTGTTAGATCAGTGATTTACTGTTCAAGGTCGTATTTTTTTT